ATACAACTTTCCTCTAGTTCTTTAATGCCTCTTCCCCCCACTCTCATGATCCCAATTCTACCTTACAAATCTGGCTAGACCAGAGGATGTACACTAGTATAGATAAGAGCTGGAAACAGGGAATTCAAGACAGGATAAATAATGAGAGTAGCCATACTAGAAGTGTAAGGGAAAGGTGGGGGGACAAAGGGGGAACCGATCACAATGATCTACATATAACCCCTTCCATGATGGACGGAAAAAAGAAAAGTGGGTGAAGGCAGACCAGTCAGTGTAAGACATGAAAAAATAAGAATTTGTAAATTATCAAGGGGGAGGGAGGGGTAAAAATTAGCTGATACCAAGGGCTCAAGTTGAAAATGCTTTGAAAATGATGATGGCAACAAATGTACAAATGTGCTTGACATATAGATGGATGTATGGATTGTGATAAGAGTTGTACTAGCCCCCAATAAAATGATTTAAAAAAATAAACACGGTAATAAAATTACTTCATAAGGCACCCTGGTGGCGTAATGGTTATGTATTGGACTGCAAGTCACAAGGTTGGCAGTTCCCCAAACACCAGTTTCCCCACAGGGAAAAGCGAAGGCTCTCTAGTCCTGTCAACAGTTACAGTCTCAGGAGCCCACAGGGACAGCTCTCTATCCTATAGGGTCGATACGAGCTGTAATCGACGCGATGGCAGTGAGCTACGTTGCTTCATGGCCAAAGGTTGCTTGCTCTTCCAGGAAATCAAATTCTACCTAATCCTGTCACTATTTGCTCCTCTGTGCTCAGCAGTGAGTTGCCATCTCTATGAGCGTCTGGGTGACCCTTTGGTTTCCTTTTGAACTGCCTCACTTCCTCGTTGGCTTATAGCCCACCATTCAAATGTAGAGCACCTAGTAGTTTCAGCTCCAGTGTCTTACAGAGCCCTGGTGGCCTCGGAGGGTCAGCTCCAGTTGGCGATTCAAATCCAGCAACCACTCGAGGGAGAAAGATGAGGTTATCTCCTTATACAGGAAACAGAATCAGGGTCTGCTGGCTCACTCCCAATGATTCTGAGTCATAGCCACCTATTGGGACAGGGTAGAATTGGCCCTTGTGGGTTTCTGAGCCTGTAACTCTTTACAGGAGTAGAAAGCCTTTCTTCACCCGATGAGCAGTTGGTGGTTTAGAACTGCTGACCTTGTGGTGGTTAGCAGCCCAATGTGTAAACAGAGCCACCTTACAGTCTCAGAAATTTGGGGTTTCTGTGAGTTGCTATGAATAGGAATCAACTCAATGGCAGTGAGTTTGGTTTATGTGATAGGTAGGTTTATTGTGCCAACCTGGCCAATGAACACATGTGGGATTAATTGAAAGGCGGAGAGATGAATGGCTCGCGAGCCTCACCTTTCTTGTCTCTTGCTCTTTGATGATCGGACCAGTGTGTAGCTGCCTTAGCTGGTGCTCTGCCTCAACTTGCCAACTTGCGAGCTACATTTCCTGTGGGACACTTAACCCATAGACTGTGTCGCTGTAGTTTGAGGTTCCTTCAAGACCTGCTTCAACCACGCTACTGGAGTATACATCGCTTGAGCTTGGGACTGTTGGGCCCTGTCATCTGACTGACTGTTGGTGACCTTACCTTGCTGTTTGCTGCCTGTGGACGGATTGTCTGAATTGCTCTACAGAGGACTGAGCTGTCTGCTTCCTTGACTTGCACCTGGCTGTCCTCAAGACTTGAAGGACTGCCAGTGTATTAGCTGTCTCACGGAAGTGAGTTGCACGGAGCCATCTGTACTGCTCTATAGACTAATTAACTGTTTATTTCATATATAGTCTATCTCTGTCTATACAAATATATATAAAACCATAAGTGTCCTGGTTTTGTTTCTCGAGAGAACCCTGTCTAGCAAAGTTTATAATGGAAAAATCAAGGTTAAAACCCCTTAACCTACTCAGACTCACTGTCACAGAACAGGGTTTCTGAGGCTGGAAATATATATTTTTTAGGCTGTGAATCTTTAGGTAAACTCATTTTCACCCCCCAAGAGCAAGCTGGTAGATTCGAATCCCTGACCTATTAATTAGCAGTCCAAGGAGCAACCAGTGGCACCACCAGGACAAACCACAATGCCACCAAGCAGGGAGCCTTCGATTCCCTGAAGGATTCCCAGAAGAGACAGCAGATGGCGCCAGAAGGCAGCAAAATGCATTCTTCTATTAGTATTTCAGCCAAATCCGGGTTGATCAGTGAGCTAGAGAGGGAGAAGTTGGACTTGAAAGAAAGGTTCCAGGAGTTTGAGCAGCAATGAGAAGTTTTTGTTTTGTTTTTAACACTTGGGATCCTCTTGTCAGCTACTCCAAATTAGTATGGTGGGGAAGCAACAGTCGGAATAACTACAATAAATTCAAATGATCATAATAAAGTTGAGGGCCTAGAGGAAGATGCTCACCTCCTTGCCCTTTGTCTACTGGGCAACTCAGGGCCCAGAAACCCGGGCTTTTGTCCATTAGGTGTGGGTGGGGAGGAATGTCCAAGAGGGGCTGTTCACTCAAGAGGATGGGGAGGGGTCCAGGGGGAGTGCTGATATGGGGCTAAGACATCTTTGTGAAACAATGATTAATTGTGCATGCAAAATCCCAAAGCCCACAAGCAGTAGAACTTCCCAGGTGGAATAAACAAAGACCAAACTCACTGCCTCGGAGTCAGTGTTGACTCATGGCGACTCATAACTCGTAGGTGGGTTTCTGGGATTGCAACTGTTCCCAGGTGTAGAAAGCCCAATCTTTCTCCTGCCGGGCTGCTAGTTTCTAACTGCCGACCATTTCGATCGCAGCAACTCGGAACCACTACACCACCAGGGCTCATAATGGAAAAACCAAATTCAAAATAAATAAATACATTTTAAATTCCTAGAGGAGCCAGGAGGTGGCGCCGGGCAAGACACCCTACCTGCCGGGGAAGCGCAATCTCCTCCGAACCAGCACTGGCAAATGACAAAGGTCATTTGGTCCAGGCCTCTGCTATGCTACCCTGCGTCTCTGAGCGCCGTCTTTCTTCCATTCTTCTGTAGCCAGACGATTCTATACTTTAAGCTTTTTAAAGCCTTAGATGGGTAGGTGGGTTGCGGGGTGGGTGCGGGGGAGTTCAAAACATAACACTTTTTTTTTTTTTCATAAAACTTACTTGAAGGCGGAAAAAATAATTTGGAGGGGAATGGAAGATTTTTTTTTTTTTTTAAGGAAATTGCATCTACAAAGTGGCAGATGAGTTACAGGGGACGGAGAGAGAGGCAAGGCGGGTTCCGGCCTGTGCGGGCTGATGACCCAGCACGTGCATTATTCCGCCCATTTGCCCTGCGCTCCTATTGAGACCCTGCGCCCTTTGTTTGGGCCGTTGATTAATCCTTGGCAGGAGCAAGGAGCGCAGAAGGCGCCCAGTGGGGTCCACCTTCTTGGATGATGACTCCGGTGAAGGGTGTGGAGGAGAAAAAGGTGGAAAGATTCCGGCGTCTAGCTTGAAATTATCTGTGGGTTTTGCACTCTCCGAGGAGGGATTTGGGATGTACATTCCGATCGGGATTTCCAGTCCCGTGGGGTAACAAACACTGGCGCACATTCCTGAGCCACGGAGCCTCGAGGGCAGGTTTCACCCCGTCCTGCTGACTTGGCCCCAGCCCTTTGTTAGGAGAAAAGACCCCTGGGCCCTTCTCTCACCTCCACTTCGTGTTTACTCGCCTGCTTCCCTCTGCCTCGCCTCCTCTCTCTCTCTGCAGTCCGCCTTTTTTCTTTTTTTTTGGAAGGTGCTTAGTGGTTCCTTCTAAGGTGTCCTAGCTGGCGCCCCTGCCCCGGCCTCCCTGCTATGGGTCAGTGTCCTCTCCTGTGACAAAAGCCGTCCTAGATCTGGGTTCCCCGGGGAGGGAGGTGTCTGGGACGCGCATTTGGAGCCGCTGTCTCTCCATGGTGCCGCGGCGGCCCCTCCCCCGCTGGGCACACAAATGGGCTTTATTCAGCAAACAAAACCGCCCCCCCTTCCAGGCCACGCAGGCACGTGGAGCCTGGCCTCGCCGTGGGAAGGAGGTGGTGACAGGCGGCGGGCAAAGACAGTGCTCTGCACAAGTTTGCTTCCCCTCACTGCTATGCCTTATTTTTACACCACCCAGGTTTCAGTCTTCGACCCTTCACCCGCACCCTAGGTCCTCCCCCGGCACCCCCCGCCCGGCCGCAGCTCGTCGTTTATTTCCCAAATCTCAAACAGTTCAGATTCTACCAGGGATTAGGAACGGACCCTCTACCCTCTGCCCCGTACACCTAGGAAGCTGCTCCTTCCAGAAGCCAGGCAAGGGGGAGAGAAGAGCCCGGTGCTCTTTCAAGGGGGTTGCAGGGCACCCCAGCAGCACCCCCCTTCCCCCCGGGCTTCAGGGAACACTCATCTGAGCTGGGTCAGCGCGCACTGCGAGGGGAGGAAGCGCTCGCTCCAGCTGGGCTCCTGAGCCCTGGCCAGTGATCCCGTGGAACCCGCTGCTCCCTCGGCCGCTGGCTGGGCCATCCTGCATACCTAATGGGCTATTTAAGGAGCTGCTCAGACGCGGCCCGGGCAGCCCCCCCTCCTCACGTACACCCTTCCAGATCCACCTTAAAAGCGGGAGGCAATTGTGAAGTCGCTGGCCAGCAAGTGGAGTAGGGACTGCAGAGGGAGATAAAGGGAGGGCAGAGAGAGAGGCAGCAAAAGTTTTTTTTCCCCCCCCTGGGGACCCAGAAGCCCACGGACCCCCAAACCGCCTGGGAAGCCTGGAGAGACACCCAGACCAGAGAGAAAGGGAAATTGATACCACACCGGGAACTCCTTTCCTGCGCTCTCCCTTGCTTTCTCTCTGCCTACCCTAACCCTCCAGTCCCCAAACTCCCAGTCCCCTCTGGCCCTTCTGGGGAGAACATGCTGTTCGTCACCGTCCTGCTGGAGGTGATTTGGATCCACGCTGCAGACGGCGGTAGGTACCACTGGTGTCTGTGCTGATGTCCATATGTCGCCCTACGTGTCTGATTCGGGCAGGAGGTTTGAAAGGGGAGTCCAGGGGCTGGAATCATCTCAGCTCAAGGGTGGGAGAAAGGAGGGCGGGGAGGAGACCACGACTCTGGTTGTGTCTTTGTTCACCCTTGCTTTTATTGAGGATGAGAGAGATCTCGCCCTGGGACTAGTTTACGGTGGCAAACAAGGGTCGGGATCTGTTTTCCAGGTCGTACTCTGCAAATCTTTCCCTAGTGCTCCAGTCAGGCCGGTCGCCTTTGTGGCCGTCACTTCTGACCTCCTCTCAGCAGAGATCCAAGGTGTGGAGTGAAAGGCTAGAGGGCCTGGTGGGGGAGGGGAGGAGGGGACATAGAGAGGGTTAGAATCTTATTCTAACCCAACCCTACATATCCTGCCTAACGTCAGCCTAATTTATCCCCTATTGAAAACCTCAGCCCAAACATTCCTCCTAGATTTGACGGAGCAAGTGATTTCCCAGTTCTTCCACCCTGAAGTGGCAACAATAATAGTCAACATTTATTGGGACCTCGACCAAAGGCTTCCCGAAACCCCCAGGGGAGAAGAGGACTCTTGGGCAAATAGGCCATTGCAATTCAGAAGTACCCAGGGAATTCCTACAGTTGGCTTTTTGTGTTCCTGCCCCTAATGCAGTGCCCAGCACATAATACGTGTGCAATTCAATTTATTGGAAGAACTTGGTGGGGGAAGAACAGGAAGACAGGAAGAGATGAGGAGTCAGTTTGTTGGGACTCTGGTGAGAGAAGAAGGGGGAGGTAGTCAGCCTATGTAAAACCAGGGCATTTGAGTTTTCAGGACATTCCACACATTGGGGGGAGGGGGGCAATGAAAGGCCACCTGCCTTCCCTTGGGCTGTTTTTCAGAATTATTATAACAGGGATGGATCAACAGACTCCACCAGGGTAGAGCTCTGGGACATCTGAGGGGAGGAGTGGGTGTAATTTCAAAGACTCAGAGGGGGAGAGAGGATGGAATGGGGATTATTCACCCATTTTGTAGCAATGTGAATACTGCAGAGAAAACCTACAAGATGCCCTCCCATTGCCTCCTTTGAAGTGCTTTGGCCCTGGGTGGGGGCTGAAAGACAGCAGACCCCAAGTCTCCAGGGACAGGACTGCTCCGGAGCCTGGCATGTGACACAGCTGGCAGCTCTCTCTTCCACACACAATGCTTCACTTTCATCATGTCCCTGCCAGCCTGCCTGCCTGTGCCCACCCACCACCCTCAACCTAGGATAGACCCTGCCCTGACTCCCACCCTTCCCTCACACTCTGGGAATCTAGGAAGCCTACTTCAGTGATAGGGAGTTTCCTCTAGGGCTGCTGGGAAAAGGATGAAGTGTTCATTTACAGCTCATTGCCCTTGTTCATATGCTTCAAAGCAAATGAATAATCCCGCTAGATTCTCATTGGTACCCGCTCCACCTCCGAACTTCTTTTCCCCTAGCCTTGTCCCTTTCCTCCAAACCCTGTGCCCCCACACTGACCTTCTGATGGGTTAGATTGGCTTGGCACAGGTTGGAGACACTTGGACCTGAGTTAATTTTAGGTTCTGGGCTCTCTCTGTGTTCGTTCCTCCTCCTCTACTTAGCAAGCACTAGCACAGCTTGGCTGGCCATTTTTAAAAGGCCCCTGATGGACCTTCCCACTGAGGTGTCTGGTTTCACTGGCTTCCCTGGGCAGTTCTAGAGTGGGGGGAGGTGAGGGATCCCAGAGGGAAGTGGAGCTGCATGCAGTGGCCGAGGGAGGGGCCATGGAGGTCAGGGGTCTGCCTACTGGCTGCACTGTCTGTAAACCGAACTACTCTGTATTGCAGGTCAACACTGGACCTATGAGGGTGAGACGGAACTCCAGGGTCCTTCCTCCCGCTGCCCCTTTCACAATGGGGCCTCCTCCCACAACCATCGAATTATAGCAACCCTATAGGACAGAAGCGAACCGCCCCCTCAGTGTTTCCAAGACTGTCAAATTCTTCTGGAAGCACATTCTCCAGGCTCTCTTCAGACTTGTCGGTTAGCAGCCCTTACCTGGGCCACTAGGCTTCTGGCACCTTCTTACCTGTGTAGATGCAGGAAGACGTACATCGTCTCGGGTGGGGAGAGGATGGAAGTCTTTAGCTTCTCACCCTAAATCTTTTCTTTCCCCGTCTCCCTGCAGGTGTTTTGCATATAAGGTTCCTAGACCTTGTTCTAGCCATCAAACACCCCACTTCCTGATTTGGCAGAAGAGCCAGTTAGATCCCTAGCAGATCCATGTGGGAAGGAGGGAGCCAGAACAGAAAGGAAACTGAAGGGGGAAAGGAACCCTGAGCTGAGCTTCCGGTTCCCCCCCTGGCTCTCTCTCTCCTAATCAATTACACCCCCAAACCTGCACACTGAATTGGGACAGAGCTTTGAGGTCAGGGGTAAAAAAGTGGCTGGCAGGCTGTTTGTGACCCTGGGGGAGGTGGAGCTCAGTTCCTTTGCCCTTTGAACCTTTGATCAATGACTCAATCCAACTCCATAGCCAAGGTGAGGCCCAGTGTGAGAGCAAGAAGTGAATAATGGAAAGCCAGGCTATCTGAATCCCATGGTCATTTGGAGGGGACCCCAGGAGACCCTGTCTCTCAAGGATCATGTTATTTGATCTGTTTCCTCACCCCTACTCTCCAATCCCAACTCTCAGGGCACACAGGCTTTCTATCCATCCCCTCCTCACCTCATTCAGCTCTCTTATCCTTAAACTACAGGTAAGTGAAAGAGCTACCACTCCCCATTCATGCACAGAGTTGGGGAATCATCTTTGAGTAAATGAGGGGACCTATAGCCCACAGCATGGGCCTGGAGGGTTTGGGAAACGACTCCTACCTCACTAGCCTTGCACATTTGGGGTCTGGGCCTGATGGGTGGAGGAGGGAAGTGCATTTCTACCTCCACAGAGATATATAATTTGGGATGGGGCTGTGGCCAAGAAAGGTGGCTGAAGAACAGGACAATGTCCTTGGTAACCCCCACCAGGCCCACATGGTCAGGACGACTGGCCAGCCTCCTACCCCGAGTGTGGAGGCAATGCCCAGTCCCCCATCGACATCCAGACAGACGCTGCGACTTTTAACCCCGAGCTGCCGGCTCTGCAGCCTCATGGATATGAGCAGCCTGGTACTGAACCTCTGGATCTGCACAACAATGGCCACACAGGTAAAAGCTCCCAGGTGCAGGATCCACTTTCAATCTTAGGAGTTAGGCGAAAGCAGCGGTCTAACTTCTGAGTTCTCAGGTTTCATCCATGATTTTGGGGATATGAGAAATGGGGATCAGCTCCTAGAGCCAAGGTGGAAATTCAAAGTCTATAAGCAAGCTTTATGAGTGAGATAGTATCATAGCATTGACTTGATCCCTACCGGGGAGAGGAGCAGGGTACTAGCATTGGCCTATCAGGAATGGGATGCTTTTGAAGGAGGGAGGCCAAGACATGATGGTCGCCCGAGGTCCTCCACCCACCCTAAGTTGCTCTCGTTTCCTCACAGTGCAGCTCTCTCTACCCCCGAGCCTGTACCTGGAAGGATTTCCCCGAAGATATGTGACTGCCCAACTCCACTTGCACTGGGGTCAGCAAGGATCCCCAGGGGGGTCAGAGCATCAGATCAACAGTGAAGCCACAGCTGCAGAGGTACCAGGGTCCAAAGAGCTTGGACTGGGACAGAGTGACAGGGCTGGTCAATCTGAGGAAAGCGAAGAATCTGGACACTGAGATAAGTCATACCGGGGAGAGAAGACCAACCTTCATTGAGACAGACAGAGCGTGCTGGGGGTGGATGAGGTTAAGGTCAAGGACTGGGACACATCACTGACTCATCACCCTCTGCCCTCACTCAGCTCCACATTGTACATTATGATTCTGATTCCTATGCTACCTTAAGTGAGGCTGCTGACAAACCCCATGGCCTGGCTGTCCTGGGCATCTTAATCGAGGTCAGTGGCCCCAAATCCTTCCCTAGGCCTCCCCACCCCCTCAGCATCCCTCAATGTTAACCTGTCAAGTCTGCCCATTTACTCTCTGCATGATGTCTTCCGACATCCAAACACTCCCCCTTGCCTCCACTTCCAGGTGGGTGAGACCAAGAATTCAGCTTATGAACACATTCTGAGTCATTTGCATGAAATCAGGCACAAAGGTAAGTCCCTGGTACCGACAGTGGAGGGAAATAAGATTTGACTTTAGGACAAATCCAAAAACTGACCTAAGAGGCCTGGGATGAGCAAGCTGGAATCCCGGGAGGTTTGCTTCTGGGATCCCAGGCTAGGCCAGCGAGGGCCCACTAAGAGGATGACGAGGCCTGCCCTATTCTCTCCAGATCAGAAGACCTCAGTGCCTCCCTTCAACCTGAGGGAGCTGCTTCCCCCACAGATGGGGCAGTTCTTCCGGTACAATGGCTCACTTACCACGCCCCCTTGCTACCAGAGTGTGCTCTGGACAGTCTTCAATCAAAGGGTCCAGATTTCCAGGGACCAGGTGAGTGGTGGAGAGGTGATGCAGCAGAGATCTAGCTGTATGTGACCTGACGTCCTTTCCCACGCCCCTTAATCCCATGGTTCGGATCTGCTCCTTAGCTGAAAAAGCTTCAAGAGACATTGTTCTCTACTGAGGATCCCTCAGAGCTCCTGGCGCAGAACCACAGAGCGCCCCAGCCACTCAACCAGCGAAAGGTCTTGGCTTCTTTCATTCAAGGTGACTGCGGAGGGCTCGGAAAGATGAGAAATTGTGGGGGGAAATTGGCAGAGGAGGGGCAGGGAAGGGTATGAAACACGTCCTTGGGAAGTGCAATGTAGCGGTTACGTTTTTGAGCTGTAATCTACATGATCAGCAGTTCAATGCTCCGAAGGAGAAAGACTGGGCTTCTACTCCTATGAACAAGTTAGTCTCAGAAGCCATAGGGGGTCTCTATGAGTCAGCATTGACTCATGACAGCTTGGTTTGGGAAGGAAAGGGAGCCCACGTGGCATAGTGGTGACGCATTGGACCGCAATCTGCAAGGACAACAGTTTGAAACGTCTAGCTGCTCCATGGAAGACAGACTGGGCTCTCTACTCCCAGGGAGCTATAGTCCAGGGTCACAGTAAGTAGGCATGACTGAAGGGCAGTGAGTTTGGCTTGGGAAGGAAACAAGGGCTAAGAGGGGCGTTGTCTCCAGGACAAGTGCACGCCCTGGTGCCCAGTGGTTTTCTCCGCACAGATGTGGTGTGCTGCTCCCAGCTAGGTGGGACCTGCAGTCTCACTGACCCAGGTTTTCTTCCCTCCCAGAGGGCACCGCTGAATTTACTACAGGTAAGGCAGCCCTACCCTGCTAAGGGGAGGAGAGAGGGGGGTTAAGTTCATCACATGGGACAAAGGCTGTTAAGGATCTGCTGACACCTTCCATCTTTCCCTCCCAGGTGAAATGCTGGGTCTAGGTGTGGGAATCTTGGTTGGCTGTCTCTGCCTTTTGCTGGCTGTTTATCTCATCGCTAGAAAGATTCGGTGAGGTCCTACTTCCCATTTACCCCATCCTTTATTTTCCACTGAACAGCATCCTCCTCTTGCAGCTCGTATCTGCTTCCGTAAAACTCTATAGTCATTTCCATGAACCATTCCCTTTCAGGAAGAAGAGACTGAGAAACCAGAAGAGTGTGGTCTTTACTTCAGCACGTGCCGCCACTGAGGCATAGACTCCCTCTCAGCATCTAGGATGTCTTCTTGTGATGCCTATCAGGGAACTTCTAAAGCCCGGTGCAAGGGACTGATCGTCAATACTATAGGCAGAAGTAGGCAGAAGGCCCTCCTTGCTCGGGACAACTCCTACCAAGAGGCATGGCCCCAGCCCCTGTCAGTGAAGAAGACACCCTCTCAAAATGTTGTCAGTGCAGCAGGCACACTGCTTAGTTGTAGGGGAATAACAAAACCCTTTGACTTCTGTCCCCACCGATACTGCAGGGCCTCTCCTCTTAGGATGGTGGTTTTCTATAATTAGGATTGTTTGGTTTGGGGTGGGTGGGTGTTGGCAGTATATTTGGAAATAAAAATGACAGACCTGATGTCTAGCAGGAGAGTTCCTTAATCTCTGGGACGGTAGGATGGGCAAAGGATAAGAGGTGGGGGTGTCAGGGAGGGGAGAGGACAACAAACCAACCATGAGTGAGTCACTCCTTTCCTCCCAGTTCTGGAAGGGGAAATCCCCTTAGAGGAAAACAGTCCCAAGTCTGTGATGTGTTATATTACCAGCCCAGATTTCTGCCCCTGAGGGGGAGCTAAGCCTAGAGGGATCAGTGCTGGCCAGCTTATAAAGGAGGCTGGATAAGACACAGAGAGGGCAGAAATCTCAATTAACATGTTATCCCCTCCGCTGCTTAAAAGTCAAATCCCCACCACAATTATAAAGTCCTTTTTATTAGTCAAAATCACAATCACTTTGATTAAAAGAATGGCACACGCCACCCTCAGCAGAAAAATGATAGTTTATAGAAAACCTCCCTCCGCCCCTCGCCCACCCCAATTAAAAACTAGAAAAAAATCTGCCCTCCTTCCCTGTGATGTCATGGCAGCAACTCTTGCAGTTACATGGCGGCTCTGGAGTAGGCCAGTTCACCCAGCACCCTCCACTTCACCTTGGGGAAAGGAGGGGCGCTGGTGGTCAAGGAGGTGAAAACCATTAGTTCCAGTAATACCAGTTCTCAACCCCAAACATGCACTCCCTTCCCTCCAGGGCCTGGGAAACGGGGATGGATACAAGCCCAGCCAGAGGAGCAATCTCAGGAAGGAAAACATAGCCCGAGGAGGTGAGGAGAGTTTCAATAGGCCTCCCTCCCCCCTGCCCCCCAAAATAAAAGAAGGCAGTTTGGGGTCTTTATCACACCAAAAATAGTTCCCCTCAGACCTGAGAAAAAGATCAAGATGTCCAGTCTGGGGAGAGGATACTGGGAAACTCAGAGCCCTTCAACCCTTGAGCCTCTATCAGTTTCATCTTAATGGTTAAACTAGATCCCCTTCTTGGCAACCTGCACTGTCCAGAACTGGAGATGGAGGAATACGGGGCGAGGAGATCAAGAGGGCACCCCAGGCCCAGGGGTCCCCCCCCAGGTTCCCTCAGTCCTCGGGTGGGATGCGCAGGGCAGAATACACCATCACCCGACTGTCCTCCTGCCGGCGGCCTGCAGAGGGGAAGGGGGATGAGTCTTGGGCAGGGTGAGAGCAGAGCACTGACACATGGGGAATCCTGGACAACAAAGGGGTCCCCAAGTAGTGGGGATAAGTGCAGATTCAAACCCACCAGTCACTGACTGGCTAAACCCAGCCTGCTCCTGGTAAAACCTAGAGACTAAAAGTCACCAGTGGACAAAACAAAACCCTGAAGGTAGTGGACAGACCAACGAGGAGACAGAGAATGGTGGGCAATGGACCCGGGCTAGGGCAGGACTCCGTCATGGGCAGTGGGCAGGCAGGTGGGTGATCTGGCGGGCGATCAGTCCAGGTAGTCAGTCCTTACACGAGAGGCTGCGCTGGATACTTTGCAGGGACCCTCCAGCTGTGATGAAGGCCCAGAGTCCCATGGAGACAGTGACCGCGTAGATGGGCAGCAGACTGGCCTCATACCATGGGTTCAGGAATGTCTGGGGATGAGAGTGAGAAAAGAGTCAATTCTCCCTCTCCTCCTCACACCTCATTCCCAGGAGCTCTTTGTGCCTTTGACCCAATCCTACCCAAGGATCTCACTCAAATCCCCTAGTCCTTCTCTCCAGAACACACTTCTGGTGTTCAGCTTCCGCAGAGGTTTCTGCCAGTCCTGCTCCTGCCCCCACCCCACCCGGATCATCTGCATTACTGGACCAACTCATTCACCACCACCCCGGCCCAAAAGAATCCCCAGAGCAGGTTATACAACTGATTTTGAGATGAAAGATCCCTTAAAGACTTACATACCTCCCTACCTGCTTGCCAGGTAAGTTTTAAAATGTTAAGGAGAGAGTATATTTCCCCCATCGCATTCACCATTAAATGTGTTTCTTCCTAACTCAGGGCCAACTCACCAGTCCCGATGTCAGTAGGTGACTCCCCACCACCAGGCCCAAAGCCCAGTACCGTCTCTTCTCACAGGCATCGAAGAAGACAACTCCCCAAAAGGTATGCAGCAGGATGATGGCTGCTGTCAGGAAGGCTGCAGGGAAGGAGAAGGATGAGATATTCCCATTTTTTCCCAGCCTCCAGAGACTGTGGGCCAAAGAAGCCTCCAAGGAAAGGACAATAAGTGAGATCAGGACCAGGGAGGGTTGGGATATGACAGCAAGGGAGGAAGTGGGTCTCACCTGAGGTCAGGAAGTAATAGGGTGAGTCTCCATGGATCCCAACCACACCTGGCCCAAGTGCATCGGCCAAAATATTGATAACAGAGAAGACACCACTGATGATACCGAAGGAGAGCCCAGACACTGGGGGGAGGAAGGTTCTCATCAATGTCACAGATCATTACAGCCAGATTTCCAGCAGCCCCCTCCCCATCCCCAGTCACAAGTCTCCCCTGCATGCTCTCCTTCCTGCCATCTCCCCTGGAAGGCCAAGTGTGAAGGAAAACAAGGGCATGTGGATGTTTAGAGACTTCCCAAGGGGAGAAGGGTGTCCAGCTCCCACCTCCAGTCCCTCTCCCTTGGCTCACCATAGGCCATCTGGCGGATGGAGATGGGTGATCTTCCGTCCTCACTCAGTGATGCTAACCCCTCATCTGCCTTCCTGGGGTGAGGGAAATATGAGGGGGGGCTGAGGTGCTCCTTTCCCGCTGATGTCCTCCCTTAGGGCCTCCTCCTCCAAGCCACCACCCAGGGGCTGTTCCCTTCCCATGATGCAATCCTCTGCCCCTCTCCCTGCCAGGTCACCCCATCCTCTTACTTAAGCAGCTTGTAGTAAGCAAACCGGAACACCTCCTGCAGAAGGACAGAGACTGCAGCACCAAAAATCAGAAGACCATACTGGAGCCGGGCATCTGACCGGTCAGTCACATGGACCAAGATGAACCAGACCACAGAGGCCAAGAGCAGAGAGACCAGCCAGAAAAATGCCCTGAGGAAAGACAAGGGCAATCAGGGCATCGGAGGGGCCCCCAGAGAAATCAGGGAGGGGAGTCAGTCAAGGCTGAAGCATGAAAAGTGGAAGTTAGACTTCCGGATGGGCAGGGAGACAGGGCCAGATGGGGTAAGGACGCATCTAGACACAGGGGACGGGATGAAAAATTGGTTAAAGACTTCAGCGAAATGAGAGTCGGTGCGCGCCCAATAGGAACGGTCGAGGATCCTCCTGAGGTCATCTGACTCAGTCTGCAGAGGTCAGTACAAACCCCTCAGGAGTCTTAGCCTCAGGCCTTCTCTGAGTAGCCAGGAGGAATACAGAAGAATCCTTGCTGTCCCTGGAAGTCGGAAACCAACTACGAGAAAGGGCATACCATCCACACCTCCGATCCAACCCTTTCCAACTTTCACCTCCGACTTGTCTCTCTCCGCCAACCCAGGCTCCCGGGCTCGCCTCAGTTCCCCAGCCCCTTCCGGATCTCTCCTCGGTGTCCTCCCACGTCTCCCCGAGCCCCGCTCACCCCGCGACCAGGATGATGACGCGAAGTGGGTCCCCAGCCACTGTAATCAGGAACAGCGCAAAGGCCGGGCCGAACGCGACGAAAGTGCATCCGAAAAACACTGCGGCCCCCATGGTCGGGCAGCTGACGGCGGGGTGGAGACCTGGCCCAGGGAGGCGAATGGGAACGGTGCTCCAGCTGGGAGTCCGTGCAGGGTGGCGACGCGACCCCGCGAGGGGCGCGGTGCAATGTCACCCCCAGACCCCGGGAAAGGGGGAGGGGGCACCGAACCCCCCGAAGAAGGTCCGCGCGACTTCCTCTACGGAAGCCGAGCTGAGGACAAACCCTGGGCCGCAGCCCCATGGCCACCTCCCATCGATCCCCCTTGAAGACCAATGGTGAAGCGGCGGGGGCGGGGCGGGGCCGCACAGCCTGCTGGGAGTTGTAGTGCCCTGCCTGCCTGAGTCCCCGACCTCCGTCCCGGGAGTGGTCACCACCCAGAAAGGGGGTTGGGCCGCGACTGGGCTGGGCCAGGGCACAGATTCCTGGGTTTGGCTCCGCCTCGGTTTCCTTTAACGACTTTGTGGAAAAGGGTGGTAGCAAACCTAAAGCTTCGCGAAGGGCAGCACAGAGGAAGATCCTGTTTGAATCCAAGGGACAAATACAAAGTCAGTACAGGATAGAGAGTGCGGGGAGATAGGGACGAGTATTGTTCTTACTTGAATGAGAGGAAATGGGCTACAGCTGCCGAAGGAATGAAGCTGAGACTTAAAAGTAGGAACTCTTTGGACCGGCTTAGCATAGGAAACAAGGGACGTCGTACACCGCTGAAGAGGCCTTCATCCGAGAAAAGCAAGAGCCGGAGGGCTGTCCTAAGATGTGCACAGAGAATCGGGAGTTAAAGCGCTTCGGGAACACGACGTTAAAGGGAAAGGACACATCCCCAGGCCGTTAAATTTCGATTGTCATGCTTCCTCTGTTTATTTTCCGAAAATGGACCACAGTGATGTCTTTCCTCGGACTAGGATGGAGGGTGGGGAGGGGGTTAGGAAGAGAGGTCCCATATTCGTGTGAAAGGAGGTTCCATTAGGAGAGGAGGGTATGATAACCCCATTTGGGTGAGTTCTTAAGAGATGGTATTTCTGCGAAGGAGTCTGTGGATGGGAAAGTGGGAGAATTCGAAATATTGTTTTTAAGAAAGAAAACTACCGAAAAACTATAGAAAGGGTCCAAAGAAAACCAAGCTTCCTCCGGTTCTCCACCCTTTTCACCTCTTTACCAAGGGGTGGGGGCAGGAGAGTGAGGGGTTTAAAGGCTTTTGCTGTCAGACATCTGAATTTTAAATTTTCCAAGAGAGAGGCTGGGAGTGAAGTTATTTGTGACTTAATACATGTGTACACACCTACATATTTTCAAGTGTTGATTTTCAAGTTCTCCCCCTCCCCACCTAGGAAATTTTAGAAAGGAACTGTATGAACAGATCAATTGTATAGATAAACACTGAAAGCTACCATGAAAATACTTCTCCAATAGAGAAGGCAGCATCCTGGCCAGTGCTCAGGACACCAAATATGTCCTTTTTCTGGCATTATCAGGCTGCGTTGATCAAAGAGATAAGGATGGGACAACTCATCTTTCCTTTATGCAATTGCCATGTCATCTTCTGACCCAAGACAGCAGTCTTGTTTGTGGCTAACTGGGGGAAAACTTGCATAGTGTCTGGTTTGTAGTAGATTCTGGGTAGATACCAAAAAAAGAGTGAAACAAACTCGCTGTCATCAAGTTGATGCCAACTCATAATGATCCTATAAATACTTATTAATGCCCGTTTAAGAAAACAAAAACAACAATTATTTTCTTGTCCCCATTGCTTGTGAATTCTGAGTAGCCCAAACAGGTTTCCTCGTACATTAATAAACGTTGTTGAACTGAATGGAACTTGGACACATAAAAGCAGAGGGCAGAATAAGGTGAACTCTACCCATAAGGCTGGAATGAATGAATCAGGTGACTGAAAGTGAGCAGCTTGGCACCTGCAACAGGGAGAGAGACTCTGGGCTTCCTCCCTGGAGTGGTGGTGGGGGGTGGGGGGGGGCCGGGCCTGTGCAGGAAGTTGACAATGAGGTGAGATGAGGTAGGTACTTAACAGAGAGAAAATAACTGGCTCTGGCTAAGAGATTGTTTCATCAGAAGCTATACATCAGGTGCTTCCACTCTTGCAGCCAGAGACAGAGCAGATGCTTTTCAGTCTAGAAAAACACTCACCCCTGCCTCCGAAGATTTCAACTATGATGAAAGATGGACAAAGCCTGAGAGAGAAGGGCAACTCTGGATGCTGATGGTAAATGAGGAATAACCCAAACCCCAACTCACTGCCAAAACTTCATTTCTGATTCCCAGTCACCCTATAGGACAGGGTCGAACTGTCCCTGTGGGTTTCGGAGACTGTAACCCTTTACAGCAGCGGTTCTCAACCTGTGGGTCGCGACCCCTTTGGAGGTCAAACAATCCTTTCACAAGGGTTGTCTAAGACGATTGGAAAATACATATTTCCAAAGAGAGACACCACTCCTCTATCCATCTCCAGGCAGTCCGCCCACATGCAGATATATCCACATATGAGTACCTGGTGTGAAGACTGTTACCCATGCTATATCATGCTTCAAGACAAAATTTAATTTATTTGTCACTAGAAATAAATATTTCACAATATATAATTATATATTGTTTTGTGCTTCATCACTATGCTTTATGTTCACTTTGTCACAATGAGAATATATCCTGCATATCAGATATTTACATGATGATTCATACAGTAGCAACATTACAGTGACGAAGTAGCAACAAAAATAATTTTATGCTTGGGGGTCCTCACCACATGAACTGTATGAAAGGTTTGTGGCATAAGGAAGGTTGAGAACCACTGCTCTACAGGAAGAGAAAGCTTTGTCTCTCTCCCACGAAGCTGGCTGGTGATTTCCAACAGCTGGCTTTGCGGTTAGCAGCCCAATGCTTAACCCCTACACAACCAAACTAAAACCCAAACGCCCTGCTGCCAAATCGATGCTGAGTCATAGCGACCCTATCAGATCAGGTAGAACTGCCCCTGTGAGTACCTGAGACTGTAACTCTTTACAAGAGTAGAAATACCTGTCTTGCTCCTACTGAGTGGCTAGTGGTTTAGAACTACTGACCTTTTGAATCGTAGCCCAAGCGTCACCATTAGACTCCTTCACCAGGGCTCCTTCAATGAGGATTAGGGAGGGAAAACCAACCAACCAACCACTGTCATTGAGTTGATTGTAAATCTTTAGGGCGGCGATAGCCCCCTCTTCCCTCACGGAGCCGCTGGTGGGTTAGCCTTGCAGTTAGCAATCCAACGTTTAGCCCGCAGCACCACCAAGGCTCCTTTAAGACCGCAGGAGGAAGAGTGAATTTCTGTGAGGACCAGGAGGGAGGCAGAGGGAGAGAAAAGAGGCAACCTCTTTGGGAGAGCGGTTTGCAGTGGTTGTGGGAGTCGTGGCTGGCGATCATCCAGGGGTTGGCAGTTCTCACCAGGGACCGGTAGTGACAGGAGATCAAGTCAGCCGGCAAGTGGGCGGAGAGTTCTGTCCCCTGAGAGAAGCGTTGCTGTAGCTCCCTCCCTGCTTGGATGGGGGGGCGGAGTAAGTTTGGTGGGAAAAACTGTGATTTCCTTCTTTTAAGTTCAGAGCGGTAGCGCAGGGTCGAGAATGGATGTCCTCTTTGTAGCCATCCTGGCCGTGCCACTGGTCCTGGGTAAGTCCACTGTCTCCCTGAATTTACCATCAGATCTTCTACGCCGCTGGTGGGAGGGGAGATGGCTGCAGCCCTCTGGGGAGAGGGGGCAATGCTCTCGCCTCTCTGCTGGACCCCTCCCTGTGGGGTTCAGTGGGGAGCAGGGGAGAGAGGGCAGGTCTGAAAGGTAGAAAATGAGAAAAAGCAGAGTCTGGTCAGAGAAAAGGCTGGGGAGACACGGAGCCGCAGACGTGTTCCTAGGAAGGTTCTACTCAGCTCTCCCACACCACGGAGTTAAATAAGTGAATGGGGACTCCAGTTGAGGGCGAAGGAAAGAGGTGCAGTCTTTGAGGCTGGGTAGCCAGAAACTACTGGAGGAAGCCAGCGGATCTCCTTTCAGAAAATTTTCCAAGAAAGACTCTCCTTTCCCAGAGAATTGGAGGGAAACCTTGTATTCTGTGTTTATGAAAACATAGAAAGGGGGTGGCCATGAGGGCAGTGGAGGACGGACGGTCGGTCTTCAGTGCAGTCCCAAGAGGAGCTGTCCCCTTCCCTTCTTTGTTCCTCCCTCTGCCAGGTGCACTGTCCCGTTTCCTTTTCCTCCGTGCTCCGTGTCATTAGCTTGGAGCTGGAAGGGGAACATTGCAAGAGTTTTAGGGAAGTGTTTAGCAGGAGGCCTAGAGTTCTGGAGTCACTCATTCCAACGCCACATATTTTCAGTTCTGGGAGGAAGAAAAACTAATAGAGTTGGAGCATCCAGCGCAGCTGACTCATTTGAAGAAAACAGGGGTTTTGCAAGTTCACAGTAAAGCTAGAACTACACTCCATACCTCCCAAAGCCCAAGGTGGTGTTTATGCTTATATGCTTTGTTTGTGAGACACTGATAAAACAAGATTTCTCACCTATACAGACAATACGGTCTGGAGCATACTGGCTCAGAAGTGTAGAGTTTGTCATCTCTGGTCTCGCTCTGTTTCCTAGTACCCTTGTTAAGGCTGAGTTCCATCTGTAGGCTTATAATATGTGAAAGGGCCTATGTTCTGATCTGGGAGCTCCTGGATTGAGGACAGAGAGTAACAGGCCTCCTCACAGAAATGAAGCTGGAGCGTAGGAGTCTGGGAGGGCTTAGAGGTACAGAGGCAGAGGGAGAACATCATGGCTCTCAGAGGGGAAGCAGACAAAGGGAACCGATAGTCCTTGGGTCCTTTTAGTGCTAACACGTTCCAGAAGCCCTTTGACCACTAGCTCTTGTCCCCATAGGACAAGAGTATGAGGATGGCGATATACTGGAAGAGGATGAGTATTATCAGGTGATCTATGATTACACTGTCACCCCCAATTATGGTGAGTACAGGCTGAAAGGAGCCTTCTCTAGAGCCTTAGAGCCTTATGGAATCCCTGGCTCTGAGCTGGTGTCCTTTGCTTTTCTAATGAAGCACTGGGTCAGAGAGATCTTTGGCCACGAGTCTAGCTTATCAAGATTCATAATGCTATTTTCTAAGTCAATGTTCAAATATCAAGGTATTGTCCAACTTTTTGGAAAATGCTTGCAACAATTTGAAAAATTTCAGGTTTCTAAGTTATGTAAGATGTAGTATTGTTTTGGGGGGAGCCAGCCCCCCACCACTACCACCGGGTTCAGTAAGCACTATTGTACGGTTGAGATATATAAATATTAAAGTCATCGAGAGTATGAACGATAGAAGAGATATTACAATAATGCAGTCAGACACATTACATGGTAGCATTGCTCACCTAGCCCAGCTTGGTGACCCACGTGGAGAGAGGGGGAAGGGAAGGAGGGGAAGGAAAGGAGGGCAAGGGAACAAGGGAAGGAGGATGGGAGAGGAGAGGGGGAAGAGGGGAGAGACCAGTGACAGTAAGCTCTATTGCTAGTCCAGGCCTATATACCTTTTAGGGACGTGCAAGCCCACTAATTCCAGGTAAAGTCATATGTCACAGGAAGGGGTTGCACTATAGGTTACACAGTAATGAGAGGTAGTCTAGGGACATACACGTAATAGGAGGAGGAGGGATTGGGGGTATACATGCGGCAAGATGGGTGGATCCTAGATACAAGATGGCAGCCTCACTTTGGATGTCACAGAGCCTGTTTGACTTGTTCCCTAGCTCAACTGATAGAGACCATTATCAGTTGGGTGTGAACTCCTCCTAAAGGAACCAGTCCAATGTGCCCAGCCACAGGGAGCAGGCCCACCCCTGTGGTGTGGGGAGACAGCAGTCTGCCTCCAGGGAGGATGTCTGTAAGCTGACCTCCCCTCACAGTGAGATACCAGATAAAAGATATAAACAGATACTCAAAAACAGCTTTGACTTTAAAGTTAGATTTTAATCATATGAGTATACTAAGTAGTGCTGTCAGGTAAGCATTGAACTGCTAGCCACAAGGTTGGTGGTTCAAACCCGCTAGCTGCTCAGCAGGAGAAAGTTGAGGCTGTCTGCTCTCATAAAGATCTGCAGCCTCAGGAACCCTAGGTAAGAGCCACATCAATGGCAGTGTGTGAGTAATGCGTTTTACAACTTGAAGGAGTTAAAGTTTTCTAAGTGAGGTCTTCCTTCACTCATTGCTGAATGCGGAGCTACCTGTCGCCTCATTGACTGCTGATTGGCTTCTGCTTTACAGATGACTTTCCCGTAAACTTCACCATTGATTACTCCATGTTTGAGGAAGAGGACAAGCTGGTGAGTGACCCTCCGTCCATCTGAGAGTCTGTGTGCAGAGGGTCAAGCTAGAAAACAGTGGTCAACAGAAGAATTTGATGACTATGTCAAATAAAATAATACTATTTATTGAGGCAAGAAACGATTTTCTTTTTTTCTTTTTCTTTTTCTTGAAACTATTTTCAAAAGGGAGCCTCATCCAGAGACAAAATGCTCCTTTAGGGAAAATGTAGGGGGAGTCCACTAGGGAAGTTATAATTGGAAAAAAAAATTTAATTAAATAATCATTTTATTAGGGGCTCATACAACTCATTAAAATCCATGCATACATCACGTGTCCAGCACATTAGTACATATGTTGACTTCATCATTCTCACAACACCCGCTTTCCACTTGAGCCCTTGGTGTCAGCTCATTTTTCCCCCTCCTTCCCCGCTCCCCCCTATAATTGGAATTTTTATTTTGCTGATAGTATTTTGCCTGATTTGTTTATTCATTTCTCAATCTCATCCATCGAGTTTACTAGTGTTTTCTTAGTTACTTCATGTTGTTGTCACACAAATACTACAAGCGCGTAGATTTAAAAAACAAATATTTATTTTCTCAGTTTCAGAGGCTAAAAGTCCAAACCAGGGTCTTAGCAGGCTGGAGTCATGGGTGTTCCTGGGTTCCTTCACGTTCAGTGCTTCTAGGTGATCCTCACACAGCATCTGCATTCCCTTGGGCGTATGGATGTCTATTCTTGTCTCTTGATAGGCCTTCATACATGCTTTTAATTAAAGAAGGGGATGTCTTACAAAGCAGAAGTATTTCTCTCATTGGCTTTATAGTTAGACTTGTCTGAGGAGAATTGATAGAGTCTGGTATGGTGAGTCAGAAGCATTTTTTTAAAACAATTTTATTGGGACATAGCCCACATATCATACAAGTCAATTGTTTAAACATATCAAGAAGAACTGTTTAATCAGAAAAAAATTTTAATTATCAAGTTTTTGTTTTAGAAAGCTTTTATAGTTAGCACATTTTGAAATTTTTCTCTTGTTCTATCAAGGTTTATACCTGATACTAATGGCCATTTTGATTGACTTAAGAAATTTACACCTGGCAAAATAGCCATTAATTCTTCGTTTATATTTAACACAGTAAAAACAACAACAAACCATGGGCAATGTTAAAGTATACTAGAACTACGTTTGAAGAAGTAAAACCAGGCAGTAGACCCAGGAAAGACTTGTTGAGCACCACTGAGGAGAAGGAAGCCAGACCCAAGTAGGTTTGCTAAGACAGGGAGAGGAGGGCCAATCCTGACTGGATTTGGAGAATAGGACGGGGACATGATCCATGCACGCATAGCACAGGGAGAAGTCTTGAGTCTTTAGGGAAACTTTGGATTGAGTATTGATCAGGCTGATAGAGGAGACGCTAACACTGTTTTCCAATCTCACCGAGGGCAGAACCGTTTGAATAAGGAAAGAACACAAGCAGGAGAACCTACCACTCATCTTCAGACAGAACACACAGGCCACCACAAGCCTGCCACGATGAAGCCTGCCACGATGAGGCCACCGACGATGAAGCCACCGACGATGAAGCCAGTGAGTGAACTGGGGTGGAGGGGTAAGGGATACTGATGGAGACGTCTCTTACCCTAGATAGATCCAAGTTTGATAATGTGGAGCTGAGGGAGGGCTGGAACACCAGGCGTCAGTGGATGGGGAAACCAAACAAGTACTGCAATGCAGGGGTTCACCTCAACTTGGCCACCGTGTATTTCATGGAGATTTAGGACTAACCCTGAATACAGAACGCCAGGAAATTTGATGTAGTTACTTTTCAGTTCAACAGTATTGGCTGGGTATGTAATGGATGCCTAAGACTGCTGAGGATATTAGTGATTATGAAAAATACATCTATGATGTTATTATTGTCCTCAAGGACTTTCTAAAACTCAAGTCTACATACATGAAACATTTATAACAAAATGAAAAGGTATGTAACAATGCTAAATGACATATACCTTTGAGAGTATATGACGTAAACAAGTATTTTAGGCAGTGGACAGAAAGAGATCAATATAGGCTACAGTTGTCTGGTAGGCTTTTGTGAGTCAATTTGTGCGTATGATACACATCAAAGAGTAGGTAAGTTTTTAACTGGTAGAAAGCTATGAAAGAGTTAAAGCCATCAGGAGGAAGAATGGTTATTGTAATAGTGAGAGAGCCTAATAGAAGGCTAGTGGCTAGAAGACGCATGGTATGTCTAGTGGGTGGGGTATGAAGGCATATTGAAGGAAGCATTGAAAAAAATCAATAATAAAATCTACAGAATTCCTCATATTTACCTAAGAGTTCCTGGGTGGCCTGATGGATAAGTACTCAACTACCACCCAAGAGGTGGTGGTTCAAATTCACCCAAAGGCACCCCAAGACAGTCCTGGTCACCTGCTGCTGGAAGGTCCTCACCCTGGGGTACTTTTATTCTGCGCAGATGGGCTCTTTGTGAGTCATGGCAACTAAAAACAACAGCAGTTACTTGGTGATATCACATCAAACAAGTTAGAACCAAACCATAGCAGACTGAAGCTTAGACTGTGTCTCAGAAAAACTGGGTGCCAAGGGAGTTCTTCAGTATGACAATGACATAGTGCAGCAGTATTTTAGGACAACTGGTTATGTGGCTGGTTGTATGCAGGAAGGAGTGGAGTGGAGTGGGATGCATGAGATTTGCGTGATCCCAGAAACAATTTGTTAAGGCAAAGGAGATGAGTAAGGAATATTTTGAAGACAATGCCTGTCTCGGCAATCATTTCATATGGATAAATGAGGAGAGAGTTAAAAGAGCATAGGTTTTTTAGCTTAGATATTTGGGAAATGATTCAACAAAATGGAATGATGAGAGGCCAGAGTTTAGAAGGGAGGCTATTCAATTGGTATTAGCCCAGCTGAATTTATGGTGACAGCTCTGTGAGTATGTTCTAAAGGTTGCTGAATCAGGTCAGGGCAAGAGTCCTAAGTGCAAAGTCAAAGTTATGAAAGTAGTTGAGCTCAGTAGAGCCAGGACACACAGAAAATCAGAAAGCCAATGATTGTGCTTGTAATTAGGAGGAGGCAGAGCAATCAACCAAGAAAATAAAGAGGATTCATTAGAGACAGAGGCAGATCTCTAACTTTATATTTTTAAATTGTATAGTACAGCCCCAAAGAAAGCCATTTGAATTGAGTGGTTGGAACAAAACCTACATCTTTGTGGAGTTAAAGAAAGAGTAGATTGTGTGGAAAGAGAGGCTAAGTAAATACCAATTTGAGAGGTCTATCCATGCAAGAAGAGAACAACAGGTAAGCGGGCAGGGCCTTGAATGCAGATGGAGGAGCTAGTAAGATAGAAAGTTGAAAATCACCAACAGGTGAAAATCTTTTAAAGTATCAAGTAGTCTTCCTTTAGACTGCAAACTCCTGGAGGACAAGGAACATGTCTTACTCATTTTATTAGCTCTACTACAGCAACTCATAGTTCTACACCCTATATCCAACTCATAGTTCTCCTACAGCGCCTGGCAAGGTGCAAATGGTTCACTTTCAGCTGCTAACACACAGGTCAATGGCTCAAACTCATCCTGCAGCACCTTGAAAGAAAGGCCTGGCAATTTGGTTCTTGAAAGATTCTAGTAAAAATAAACCCAAATCTTACAGACCCCTTCTACTCTGCAGCAACACATGGGTCACATAAACTCCATGGTTTTTGTTTTGCATAGCACCTAGCATAGTGACATACACGTATGGACACGGTAGGTGTCATTGAATTAGGGCACCTGTGTCATGAGGGGTGGCTGGAAAGGCAGGATGACTCTGTCCCTAAAACAAGGAAACAGAGTGGGGGGTACAGAATGCGGGTATCCTTTCTGGGGTGGGGACAAGGAGGATGACACTGACTTGTTGTGGAACAATCTCTGTATTTCAGCACAGTCGAGATCTGAATGATTCTGTGTCCAGCCTGCAGAGCCCTGTCCCCCTCATCTTGTCCTGGGCCTTCATTCAGTGGGGAATGTATTTCATTTAGAAGGTGAGCGTGTCGCCACTGTGACATCATTTGTACCAGTCCATCAGGCCAGTGTTTCCAGTCAGATCGCTCGCAAGAGGGATCACAGCTAGAAAACCATTTTGTCTACCCTTACAGAAGTAGGAAGATCACTGTTTAAGACAGCGGTTCTCAACCTGTGGGTCTCAACCCCCTTGGGGGTTGAACAACCCTTTCACAGGGATCGCCTAATTTATAACAGTAGCAAAATTGCAGTTATACAATAGCAACAAAAATAATTTTATGGTTGGAGGGGGGGGCGTCACCACAACATGAGGAACTGTATTAAAGGGTCACGGCATTAGGAAGGTTGAGAACCACTGGTTTAGAAGATGTTGAAAAAAAGACACAAAGTCACTAATTTCTCCCAGCTGGGAGACCTTTAAGTCTTCTTAGATCAGTAGATCAGAAGCAGAAAGAATGAAGAAGAAACTTCTCCAGAGTTCCAGTCTGCCTTGAGGAACTAGCACTGTTTCCAGCCTGGCCCCGGCTTAAGGCATAGCTGGTGCCAGAACAAAATGGGCAGGGCACGACTACAAGGCCAAGTCTGGAAGCAAAAGTTCAGAGGCTCAGGGGCTGGTGGTTCTCCGCTGCAAGGAAGAGAATGTGAGGAAAAGAAAGAGAGGAAAAAACTGTGTACAGGAAAGGAATTTAAGTTGGGATTTTCAATAGCTGGGGGTGGGGGGTTATGAAGAGAAGTAAGAAGGGGAGGGGACACCACATCTTTGCAAAGATACCACTAGCTCAGAATGTGGTGGGGGCATGGAGCACAAGTGGGACTTCGTGGATCCTCTGATCTTGCCTCTCTCAACACACCCCTCCCCCCTTCTTTGCTCTTTAGGAAAGAGAAGTCTGCTACAACTCTTGGGATGGGAATTTTGGAGAAGATAAAATAAAGAATAAATTAATAATCTGGAGATCCCCTTTCATGAGTCTTTTCTAAAGCTGCACTACTGGACAGCATCAAGAATTGGGGGTGGGAAGGGTAGATAGAAGGGAGTTACAGACTAATTCACCATACAGCCTGAAGCCAGTATGATTAAGGTGACCAGATTTTAACATTGGTAAAGCGGGACACCATTGACCGGGTGGGGGGAGGGGCGGGGGGCGGGGAGAGGGGGAGGAGGTTCTTGATTAAAAATTTGGTCTATATGGAGCAACAAAAATTTCCACAGAATGCAAAAATAGTATTGCAAATTTTTTTTAAATTTCAACATAAGTACAATTTACAAATATAATACATTAAAATTATGTATACTATTATTTTATTCTTTGGCATATTTTCATTTGAGTGAATTTTTTTAGTAGATTTCTGTTGTTTAAAAGGTCATGTATCGAAGGAATGATTGTGATTAATAGCATGAAAAGACATAAGTCCTTCTGCTAATGCTAATTAATTTTCTTCATCTCCATAAGTTGTTTTCCAAAAAAATTGCTGTATTTTGGAGGAAGATGCAGCAGTATTTAAATATCTTTTATGTTTCTGTATCTCCAAGTGCTTTGAAATATTATTCTTCCCGCCATGCAAAATAGAAAAGCCACCATTACATTTCTCACATTTTACCATGTAATCACTTTTGGTTTTTTTAAGAAAAGGAAATTCACTTCTTGGATCATCATTGAATTTGCATCCTCTTTTCTTACTCATTATGTTAAAAATCTAAAAAAAATTTTTTTAATTATATTATAAATTATTATATACACATTGCTTAAAAACACAGTAAGTAGGTACATAATTACATGAACATATTTTATTGTTAGTTTATAAATTAAATTAATTTGATTGTTATAAAGTAACTATATTTTAAAAATTATTTTAATTTTAATCCTATATTTCTTTCTAAATAATAACAATACTAACTTGTATAATTTTTTCTCTGAATTTGCCATAATGTAAGTTGTAGGTGTCACTTTCAAGTCTGGCGCTAGACTTTTTGCCGCCACTATAAAATATAAATAATATGATTACTGTCTGCTAAATTCAAGAAAATTTATGTATTTATGAAATAAATAAATAAGGTACTTACCTAAATTATCTGAATAGTGTTTGGGCCAGGTCCTAACTAGGCAGCCCCCATTTGGACTAAACTGAAGCAGGTCCAGGCCCTGTACGTGCTTCCCTGCACATCCCAATGGTGAGCAGCAGCACCTGGCGCCAGATAAGATAACCACCAGATAAGATAACCAGTGAAACCAGATGTTCTGGGTTCAAAGAAAGCCAGGAGGAGTCCACAAGCAATTCTCAGGAGTTCCCAGACCCCATAAGCTGATTGCCATAATTGCCATACATTCCTCACCACCCCTTTAAAAACCCTCGACCCCAGCTGCCGAGCAGGACTTCCCTGACCTGTTAGCCTAGGTCACGGAACCTCGTCCAGGATCTCCCCCACCCTCACCTAATAAAGCGATTTGTTTCTGCTTTCCCTTGTCCTGTCAGTTATGTCAGTCTTCCTCCCTGTTCCTCAGTTCTGCCTTTACATTTGGTGCCGAAACCCGTAAGAGGTAGGGACATGGGCTCCGTGCTGCCCTGGCCCTGCTTTGGCTGGGATGCAGCCCATCCATCCTCTCTTCCTGAACCTCCGGAGCCCGTCTTAACGAGCAACTTTTGGTCAGTACCTCTCTCTGTATGTTCGTTTTGTCTCATTTGTCTTTTTGTCGCTCTGAACACTGAGGACCAGCAAACTCATATGGCAACATAGGGTCCGTGGGAGGCTAACTAGCTGAAAGCCCTGAAAAGCAACCCTAGTACCAAGATGAGCTGGAAATAACTGCCTTTCCTGAAAGGGGTGCGACGATAAGGTCAGTTTCTCTATAAGGTCAGTTTCTCGTGTCCATCTTTTCTCTGTGTCTGCCTTCTCTCATGGGGCCTCCAGTCTTTTGTCTCTGTGTTTACCTCCTAGGATTCCTGCTGAAAACAGGACTCATAGCACTAGGCTGAGCAGTCACTGCACCGTCTGCCTGGACTGGAACGCAGAGGGTGGGTCTGAGCCTTTCCTATCTATTTGTGTGCTTTGCATCTGCAGCCCCGCAGTGCTTTCTCTAAAATGTTCTGCTTCCCCTGACTCTCACCCTGAACAAAGGCCTA